CTTAGCCCCTTCATTCAGAACTTTAAGATTTTTGTACTTCTGTCTTACCTTGCAGTTTAGCACAGGCACCAACCATTGTTATGGTTGTTAGCAGTGATCAGTCAAGAGATAGACATGTTGCTGTATGGCACTATGCTATATCAATATAGTCGGGTAGCACTGATGCAGTAGGTCAAAGGCAAAGTCCAGTATCAGTCTAGGTGCTCGGACATGCTCAGTTAGCTGTTTGGGACAGTCAGGATCAAGGGGCCCATATCACTACAGTCCAGGTCTTGCACCACAGCCAATCCTGAATGTCCAGTGCAACCAGTCCAGGCTTCTGGTAAGTTAATTGGGGAACTGCACACAGGTCAGTCAAGGGTCATGTCACCCATCAGTTGCGACCATCCGTCCAAGCTGATCATTTGTGGAGGCGGGGTGGGTGGGGTGGTGTTTGATCAGTGTCAGGCTTGAGGGTTGTCTCAATGAAAGTCAAGGGAAGTTATCAGGGGCCACTGCTGTGTTAGGGATGTTGGGAATTTTTCTTTTAACTACCTGTGGAAGGTGGGCGTCACTGGCTGGCTAGTATTTATTGCCCGTCCCTAATTGCCCTTGAAAATGTGGTGGTGAGCTCCCTTCTTTAATTGCTGCATTCCATCTTCCTAAGGTAAAGCCACAATACCCTTAGAGAGGGATTTCCAGGATTTAGACCCAGCTACAGTGAAGGAATAGAAATATATTTCCAAATCAGGATCGTGAGTGACTTGGAAAGGAATTTGTAGGTGGTGGTGTTCCCATGCATTGGCTGTCCTTGTTGGCCTAGATGGAAGTGGTCATTGGCTTGGAAGGTGCAGTCTAAAGAACTTTGGTGAATTTCTGCAGTGCATCTTGTGGACAGTACATACTGCTGTTATTTGTGGATATGGTATCTTTATAGTGGGGAACTCAGTGAGGGCAACACCATTGAATGTTATAGGCCCTGTACTTAGGTTGTCTCTTATTGGAGACGGTCATTGCCTGGTATTTCTGTAATGTGTATGTTACTTGCTACCGTCAGCCCAAACTTGGATATTCAGTATGTGAGGAAATGTGGAGGATGCTAAACATTGTGCAATCATTGGCAAATATCCCCATTTATGACCTTATTATGAAGGGAAGGTCATTGATGAAGTAGCTGAAGATGGTTGAACCAAGGACACTACCCTGAGGAACTCTTGCAGAGATGTCCTGGAGCTGAGATGACTGACCACCAACAACCACAGCCACTTTCCTATGTGTCAGGTATGACTCCAAACTGCAGAGAGTTTGCCCCCTGATACCCATTGATTCCACTTTTGCTAGGGCTCCTTAATGTCACACTCGGTCGAATGCAGCCTTGACATCAAGGGCTGTCACCCTCACCTCTGGAATTCAGCTCTTTTGTCCATGTTTAAACCAAGGCTGTAATGAGATCAGGAGCTGAGTTCCCCTGGCGGAACCCAAACTGGGCGTCACTGAGCAGGTTATTGCTGAGCAGATGATGCTTGATAGCACTGTTGGTGACACCTTCCATCACTTTACTGATGATCACGAGTAGACTCAGGGGGCAGTATTGGCCTAGTTAGAATTGTCCAGCATTTTCTGTACAGGACATACAGGGGCAATTTTCCACATTGTCGGGTAGATACCAGTGTTAAAACAGTACCGAAAGAGCTTGGCTAGGGCAGCAGCCAGTGCTGGAGCACAAGCCTTCAGTACTTTTGCCGGAATGTTGTCAGGGCCCCTAGCCTTTGCAGTATCCCGTGCCTCCAAATGTTTCTTGATGTCACATGGAGTGAACGGAATTGGCTGAAGACTGGTATCTGTAATGCTGGGGAACCACTGGAAGAGGCTGAGATGGATCACCCACTTGGTACTTCTGGCTGAAAATTGCTGCGAATGCTTCAGCTTTTTCATTTGCACTAATGTGTTTGGCTCTTCCATCATCGAGAATGAAGATAATTCTGGAGTCTCCGATTCTAGTGGATGTGGCTAGACTGCAGAGCTTAGGTCTGATTCTTTGCTTGTGGGATCTATCACTTACTACCTATGCTGTTTGGCATGCAAGCAATCCTATATGACAGCTTCACATGTTGGACACCTCATTTTTATATATGCCGGATGCTGCTCCTTGCATACCCTCCTGCACTCTCTATTGAAACAGAATTGATCCTCCCGGGCTTGATGGTAATGGTTGGAGTGGGGGATATGCCTGGCCATGAGGTTACAGATTGTGTTGGAGTACAATTCTGCTGTTGTTGATGGCCCATAATGACTTACAGATGCCCACACTTGAGTTGCTAGGTCTGTTTGAAGTCTGTCCCATTTAGCACAGTGATAGTGCTGCACCGCACAATAAAGGTCATTGTGAATGTGAAGGCAGGACTTGGTCTCCTCAAGGACTGTGCGGTGGCCCTCTTACCAATACTGTTATGGGCAGATGCATCTGTAGTCAGTCTAGCGGCTATGTCCTTTAGGACCCAATCAGCTCGATCAGTAGTGCTGCTGCCGAGCCACACTTAGTGATGGACTTTGAAATCCCGCCACCCAGGGCACATTTTACACCCTTGTCACCCTCACTGCTTTTTCCAAGCATTGTTCAACATGGAGGAGTATCAATTCACCAGCCAAGGGAGAATGGTACATGGGAATCAACAGGAGGTTTCCACACCATAATTAGCCTGAAGCCGTGAGACTTCATGGGGTCCAGGGTCAAAGTTGAGGACTCCCAGCTACTCCTTCCTGACTATAAATCATTCCTGCTGGTGGGTCAGGACATATCCAGGGATGGTGATAATGGTATCTGGGACAGTGTCTATAAGGATGATTTCGTGAACATGGGTGGCAGGCTGTTGCTTGACTAATCTGTGAAACAGCTCATCTAATTTTGGCACTAGTCCCCCCGTGTTACTAAGGACTTTGCAGGGATGACAGGGCTGTTCGGTGCCCAGGTTGATGCCAGGTGGTCCATTGGGTTCCATATCTTTGTTAAGATTTTGTTATGATTGATACAACTGAGTGATTGGCTAGGCCATCTCAGAGCGCAGTTCAGATTCATCCACATTGCTGTGGGTCTGGAGTCATATGTCGGCCAGACCGGGTGAGGATGGCAGGTTTCCTTCTTTAAAAGACATTAATGAACCAGATGGGTTTTTCTGTCAGTTGACCACGATTTCATGGTCATCAGTAGATTCTTGATTCTAGATTTTTTTATTGAATTCAAATTCCACCATGTGCTATGGCGGGATTCAAACCCGGATCCCCAGAACATTAGCTGAGTTTCTGGATTAATAATCTAGTGATAATACCACTAGGCCATCGCCTCCCCTGTTCTGGAGTTTGCAGACAGCATGCTGAGATGCAGAGTGGGGCATTTCAATATATAAGTGGGGTAAGGTGGAACTTGAATTTAATTTGTAGGGGGTCTTGTGGCATAGTGGTAGTGTCCCTACTTCTGGGCCAGGAGACCCGGAATTGGGAGTCATCTGCTCTAGAAGTGTTCAAATACATTTCTGAACAGGTTGACTAGAAAATATCTAGAAGTGCCGTGGAGTTCCAACTGAATGCTAAAAACTGTGTAGCCCCTTTAAATCCATGGTGATTTTTAAAAAATATTTGGGTTCATTTTTTGTTCTGTCACATTGTACAGTCCACTCCATTTAACCTGATCTTCATATTCTTCAGGCAACAGACCAAAACAATATACTTTGCAGCTAAAACTGAATGTTTATATCTCTATATTCTCAAATTAATTGTTCTTTGCAAACTAAAACATTTCAACAGTATGATTGTCTTGGCTGTTTGATGTCGTTGCTGTTCAGACCAGTCTGCCATTGCCATTCTCCATCGATTAAATTCTGACCCTGTTTTTGATATTCCCTCTATCAGCGGCTAACAGCCCAACCCAGGACCACACCCTACCCTTCTCTGATATCTGCCATATCTTAGTCTTGGTCACTGCTGCTGACTACCACTTTTCTAAAGTACTGAGCATGAAGGGGGATAAACTTTGTCAGTGCTAAAAACTTAAACCTGTACTTAAACCTGCATCCCTGCACCAATAAAAACCTTTTAAAAAACAGAAATCAATATGTTACCTGTATGAAATTTCTAAACAATACTTTGTGCACAAGTTAAATTTTCACTTGATTCTCTCTATATTGAATCGCTAAGTGTTAGAACAAGCAATTCAAGATAGATGAGCTAACATCAGTGTTAATACAGAAAACAGTGCCACATGGCTTTTTCTGAACTGTAAGGGTAGTTCAGTATTTAGATTTAGGGTTTGTTGAACATGTATCCAAGTTCACTCTGTTTGTGGCTCGTTTTCCATCAAGATGCTCTTGCTCAGGAATACAGATTCATAATCATGCTGAAATGACAGAACACTTGACAGCACTAGAGTTTACAAGGTACTATGTTTTTAACTATCGCACATCTCCTGCTTCTATTTAAGGGACAACAGAATCTTTGCCTCAACTTCTTACATGAAGCCAACTTTTCTAATGCTAAATGCAGTGCTGTAGGTGGATGAAAGTGTGGTTTTCACAATATCATAGGAAGTTTTCACACTGTCATTTCCTTCCTGCAGACCAAATGACTGCAGCAGCAAGGCCCAAAAGCAATATAAACATCAGATACACTAGAGGGTCAGAGTCCCAAAAAGCAACTTCTGGATCTTCAGTTGACTGGAATTCAACCCTAGCACTTGACTGAGTACTAAATATTAACCCACGCAAATACCAAGTTTGAGCTACACACACGTGATACATAAACTATTTGGTAAGCTTGCCCATTGTAAGCCAATTGCCTACTTGACATTAAATGTATTTTCCGTTGCCCCACAAATTGTATCAAAGAGTCCGACGGGGGACACAAATAAAACTTATGAAACGCTGCCAACAAATCCCAATGTCCCAAGAAACACAATAAAAAGCAGTATTTTTCACACAAACAGAAATTGATACCAGCGAATCACACATACATGCAAAAAACAAGAAATCTGACTTAGATTTTTTTTATTCACTTATCTTTTGCATTTTCAACATTTAATCTAAAACCTTGCATCTCAGTCGCTTACGTGCGGTTAGTGGTTTCAATACATGCAAGAAAAGAAATGAATATAAAATGCTATGGTTACAATTGTTGCTTTCATTCAAAGGTGGACTCCTGCCTTCAGCACTCTATAGACCATTGAAAAGGTCACTCCCATCCCAACTATCCAGCTCAAGCCACGTGATGGCTGGGGAAGAGGAACCAGATAAGCAATGCTGTGGAAGATTCTGGACGCAGCAAAGATTCTGAAGTGCATTACAGCTGTATTCAGGTCAGGTCCAGAGAGGGCATACAACAGACCAATGCCGACAAATGGAACAATGTTCTCCAGGTCGTTCTGATGACATCTACAGGGAGCAAAAACAGGCAGCAAACACTGAAAGCTGATTCAAACAAACAGAAATTAACAATCCCATCCTTACATTGAAGAAGTATTTAATTGCTGAACTGTAATTAATACTGAAAAATATAACAAACGTCCATACTTAAAAGTAAGAATTAACACAGGAATGACAAACCATTCTACTCACGTAATACAGAATTAAAGAAACTGGAGATTGGACAAGTTTTCAAGCTTGGAATCTAACAACTGCAAAAGGTAACTGATACAAAGAATGTTATTTTATTCATCTCCTCAATTTATTCATTTACATGTACATTAGAAATTAGTTCAAATAAAACAAAACTCACTCAGTATAGTGGTCTTAACATGTTGGACGTTAAGAATTTAAAAGTGACCAACTCTATGATACCCCTCCAAGGCCCATGGAAAAATCATTAAATAACCTTCTTGTGGAGCTCGTTGAGTATGAGTTCCCTGGGTAACAGGCAATGGTTTGCCAAGCCAGAACTCAGCAACAGCCCTTATAAAGCAGGGAGGCAACAGTCTAGTGGTATTATTGCTGGACTGTTAATCCAGAGACCTAGATAATGTTCTGGGGACATGGGTTTGAATCCCAACACAGCAGATGGTGGAATTTGAAGTCAATAAATTTCTGGAATTTGGAGTCTAATGATGACTGTGAATCAATTGTTGGGGAAAAAACCCATCTGGTTCACTAATGACCTTTAGGGAAGGAAACTGCTATCCTTACCTGGGTCTGGCCTACATGTGATTCCAGACCCACAACAATGTGGTTGACTCTTAACTACCCTCTGGGCAATTTGGGATGGACAATAAATGCTGCCTAGCCAGCGAAGCCCTCATCCTGTGAATGAATAAAAGAAATCCAGCACAAGGGTACTTTTACTGGCGGTGGCTAATCTTTTTAGAAAAATACAAAATAAGTCACAGTAATTCTGGTGGTCAGAAGGTCACTCAGTTGTGTGTTATAGTAGTTCAGGATATGAAATGTTTTAAAAAGCAGACCCAGGTGAACCATGTAGATATTGCCTGTGGGAAATTACACCGCCTTGTCAAATTATTTGAGAAATCTTTTGTTGTGTTTTTGGTTACACTGCAACACAATGCTCCTGATCTTTGGCCATCCAGTGCAGAGGAGTGTGGGCAGATTGGAGGCCCTCCTTTTGGTCTCCTCCAGGCTGGCTATAGACAGGTCCTGGCAGCGGGCTGTGGAGGGAGTGATCTCTGCAACAGAATGCTTAGACGTGCTGCAAATGAATAGCAACAGGGTATTTGTGACATTCCACTTTGCTGTTGTGACCAGTTAGGAAATGTAAATGCAGCTTGCAAGCAAATGGCCTATTAGCTTCTTTAGAGTTTTAACTCGTAGAGCCAGATGATAAGATATTTTCTAGATCAATCTGTTTGGAGATGTTATCACACACCTATGGAGCAGTTAGGACCCGAACCTAGGCCCCCTGGTTTGGGGGTAAGGACACTACCACTGTACCACAAGAGCCAATAAGTAATATTCAGTTTGTGCTTTATTTGCAGTTTCAACTTTCTTTTTAAACCAACTTGTGATAAAAATACATAATTAGTTTCACCCAGCTATTGAATGGTTAATGCACCAAGTAGCAGTTGAGTCAATGATCTATGCAAATAGGGTCACAGTTTTGAAACACCGTACTGAAATTACAAACCAACAGAAGCAAAAGACATGCTCAGTGTAAAGTTGAATATCGCAAAAATAGTAAAACCCAGAAATTAGCCAGCCAGTTTCTCATTCTGTGGCTGCTCTTGCATCCACACATGGGGGGAGGGACAGGCCACTAAAGCCGTCTGGAACACTGGCTCTCAGAATGCCACCAGTTGTTTACCTCCAGATCCCTGAACTATCACCATTGTGAAACTGGAGCCCAGCTGGCTGCTTTTAATCGGAGTTAACAAGGCACTAAAATATCCAGCACCAACACTTCTGGGCCCCATCTTCCTCCACTCCCCCACAAATCCTCAAATCCCACCTCCAAACTGCTTCCCCAGCTGGACCTGTAAATCCTGCCCTCAGTGTCTGATAATAGAGAGGGCTGCTTCAGATTTCAACTGGATTCTTTCATCAGTTGTGAGCTTGCACCTAGAGTACTGCGTACAGTTTTGTTCTCCTTATCTAAGGAGAATTTGCTATACAGAGAAAGCAGTTGAGGCCCAAATCATTGAGTGCTTTCAAGGAGGAGTCAGATATAGGTCTTAGGGCTACAGGTATCAAAGAGTACATGGATTAAGTGGGAACAGGCACTAAACTGTGATCATATTGAATGGCGAAGCATGTTCGAAGGTCTGAATCCATCTAATTTCTCAGTTTCTATGATCAATGAAGGTTCACCAGATTATTCCCTGGGATAGCAGGATGGGGAGAGTTTGCGGAAACTGGCTCTGAATCCTGTGTTTCAAAGGAAAGGAGGTGATGTTATGGAAACTTATAAAAGTTGTAAGTTAAATTTATAAATTTTTCTAGGACATGTAAGGGTATATATATATAGGCTGTTATCCCCTGCTGGTGACTCTAGAACAGGGGACATAATCACAGAATAAAGGAAGTGCTCTCATGGTGGTCCTGAACCAGGAGATCTAGGTTCACGTTCCACCAACCTCAGAGGTGAGTAACGAGTTGATTTCAAAATATCTCTGAATAAAGGAGAGATCGTTTAAGATGAAAAAGAGGAGGATTTTTTTTCCCTGAGAGGATGGTGAACCTTTGAAATTCTCTACCCCAGAGAAATGCAGGAGTCAGTCACTGAATAGGTTCAAGACACAAATCAAGTGTCGTAAGTTTCGGGAGACTAATGACAATAAGCAATATGGAGATAGTACAGGAAAGTAGCATCCAGTTGGAAGATCAACCATGGTCTAGTCAAAAACAGGGATAGGCCAGGTGGGCTGAATGATTAACTCCTTTTCCTATGCCTTACGTTCCTATCTAATTCGAAAGCTTGAGATGAGCAAGGTTTTTAATGAAACAGAACAACAAAGAGCAGGGGGAAATTAACACAACACTCAGCGTATAACATAGACAAAAATGTATTCCTCAGTTTTAGATTCCCCTTAGAAATAGTGAAATGAAAATTTAATAGAATCTTAATAGAATCCCTACAAACACAAGGGACACATAACTCCTGTGGGGCTGCCTCTCACTAAAAAGTCATTACCACCACTTTGAAGATCCCTGAACATTTGTAGGCCTATTAAATCTCAGGTCATTTTGACATGGAGATAACATTAATATTTTCTCTGCAACTCTATCAAAAAGTGTAAAGTTTGCCACCCTCAAAATAAAGAGCATTCACATCTCCCCAAAGAGGCTGCACTACCTAAAGCAGAACTTGTATTTCTGTAGTGCCTTTAACATAATAAAACATTCAAAGATGCTTCGCAATGGCATCCAAAGAAAAATTCACACAGAACTAAAGAAGGAGACAGTAGGACACATGACCGAAAGTAGTTTTATGGGCAAAACTGAAGAAGATAGTAATTCCAGTCATTGTCATATATCATTATTTTACTCATTGCTACTGTTCATGGTGGGTGAGTGGTTAGCACTGCTGCCTCACAGCACCAGGGAACCAGGTTCAAGTCCACCTTGGGCAACTGTCTGTGTGGAGTTTGCACATTCTCCCTGGGTATTTGTGGGTTTCCTCCCGTAGTTCAAAGATGTGCAGGTTTAATGGATTGGCCATACTAAATTGCCCATGATGTGCAGGCTAGGTGGACTAGCCGTGGGAAATACAGGGTTCCAGGGATAGGGTAGGTGGGTGAGATGCTCTTTGGAGAGTCAACATAGGCCAAAGGGCCTGCTTCCACACTGTAGGGATTCCATGTTTGTTCCTCAAGAGTGTGCCACCACCTAAAAAGGCAGCCAGCAATTTCCAACCAGATCTTCATTAATTTATAAAGCACATGAAATGCTTGTTCAAGAGTGTAAATAAAAGTCAGCCCTGTAACCTGATAACCCAACTTAAGTAATATTCCTTATTAAAGTTCAACAAATATTTATAGATAAATAATTCTATCAAAACATTGGATATGTAATAAAAAAGTAATGGAGATTGCATCTGCTAAACAGCTATTTGCTATAAAAACAGATGACAACAAAAGATTAATCATGGGTGGAAGAAAGAGAAAAGTAGCATTATGGGAATAAAAGTGGTTACATTGACATTACTGTGTTTTTTGACCCAAAAATCTCACCTTCTCACACGCTCCACATAAGGGTCTGTCCTCATTAATTTTTTTTTGGATTCTTCATCAGTTGCACCATGTGCCCAAGCATCTTCAGCACTGACAAAAGCCTGTTCACAAATAGATTATTAGGCGTTATCTACCAACACTCTAGGCCTCATCTGTATATAAGTGGACTGGTTTCCAGAATATAAACCATTTCTCATGACAACAATTCATAATTATGGCTTATTTTCTGTTGGCTTGTGGAAGATATCCAGTTTTCAGTTCAAGGGGCACAGGAGCTATTTATCAATAGACAATTCATTTAATGAACCACTAGTTTAAAAACCAGATTATGTGGACACACAACTCTTATTTGGTGGACTCAAATCACACAAGTATCTTATTCATTCATAAAATAAATCACAACCGAAACTGATCTTCTCGTTGAGTTTTATAAACTAACATTCCAGCCCCGAATTAGTCAGCTTTTTGAGTTACAAGGGAGTCCAAGGTTCTAGGCAACAAACGGGAGAGTGGAATTAAGACTACAATCAAATCAACCACGATCCTATTCAATGGCACAAGCAGGCCCAAGGGGCCAATGGCCCACTCCTGTTCCAGTTTCTTATGTAAAAGGAAGAGCTGGGAATTTGAGAGCAGCCAATGACCAGTGGATTCCCACAGAGGTCAGCGTTGGGACCATAACTATTCACGTTATGCATTCATGATCTGGACAAAAGGAACTGAGATTTTCTTTTCTTTATTTTCATTCTTACTAATTTTGCAAATGACACAAAGATTGCTGGAGGGACAGGTAGTGTTTTGGCGAAGCAGAGAGGCTGCAGAAGGACTTGGACAGCCTAGGTCAGTGGGCAAAGAAATGGCCATTAGAGTACAAGATGGGAAAGTGTGAGCTTCTGCACTTTGGTAGGAAAATAGAGGTGTAGACTATTTTCTAAATGGAGTAAGCTTCAGACATCTGAAGCACAAAGGGACTGAGCAGTCTTTGTTCAGGATTCTCTTAAGGTTAACGGGCAGGTTCAGTTGGCAGTTAGGAAGGCAAATGCAATGTCGTTTCTAGAGGGCTAGATTACAAGAGCAGGGCTGTACTGCTGAGGCAGTACAAGACTCTGGTCAGACCACATTTGGAATATTGTGAGCTGCTTTGGGCCCTGTACCTAAGGAAGAATGTGCTGGTGTTGGAGGGGGTCCAGAGGGGGTTTACAAGAATGATCCCGGTCATATGAGGACTCTGGGTCTGTACTCGATGGAGTTTAGAAGGATGAGGGACGATCTCATTAAAACTTACAGAATACTGAGAGGCCTGAATAGAGTGGGCATGGGGAAGATATTTCCACCAGTAGGACAGACTAGGACCCAAGGGCACAGAGTGAAGGGATGACCCTTTAGAACAGAGATGAGGAGGAATTTCTTCAGCCAGATGTGGTTAATCTGTGGTACTCATTGCCGCAGAAGGCTGCAGAGACAAATTCATTGAGTGTATTTAAGACAGAGATAGATAGGTTCTTAAGGAATAAAGGGATCAAGGGTTACGGAGAGAAGGCAAAAGAATGAAGTTGAGATACACATCAGCCATGATCAAATGGTGGACCAGGCTCGATGGGCCAGATGGCCTAATTCTGCTCCTCTATCTTATGGTCTTACGGTCTGTGGCATTAAGGGACTTTTCTAAGTACCTGAAATTAGCCTCTAACCGACTTTATACATCTGTATAGACCTAGTCCCCACAAGCTTTAAAGGACATGCCACATCAAACACAGCTCTACCTTAGCAAGGAAGACAATTGTCTCCTGATGAGAGGGGTAATATAAAGCTGGAAATATTGTCCTTACATAATAGATTGTTCATTTTAAACTGGAGAAGATCTGCCATGTCATGAACAGCAAAATAAATATTCCATATTGGGGCTTATTATCACATGCAGGTGGAAGCAAGTGCAAGTTTAAGTTCCAGCGCTTGACATAAAGACGAAACCTCGAGACGGCTCAGGAAACAGACTGCAGCAGTTCAAGAAGATAGACCATCACTTTGTTTTCAAGAGCTATTAGACATGGCAATAAATGCTGGCCTTGCCAGTGACATCCATATGCCATAAATTAATAAAACTGAATGCTTATGTCGTAGAGCATTGCTCAGAATTCAAGGACATGGGAGGAAACTTTTATATGATAAGAAATTCAGGGACACAAAAAATAGCATGGACTGGTTTCCATATTTTTAGAACTTCCTTTGGGCAAGAGCAGAAACAAACGACAAAAATTCATTATCACTTCAAGTGTGCAAGCTCAACCTTTGGCCAACTTAGGTTAAGTATATTTGTGGAGCAGGATTTCAAACTCAACACTAAAAGCCATGGTTTACTGGACAGGAATCATCCCTATGCCCTGAAGCACCAGAGGCTGAGGGGTGATCTTGTCGAGGATTGTAAGTTCATGAGGGGCATAGATAGGTTGAACAGACAAGGTCTTTTCCCCAGGGTGGGGCAGTCCAAAACTAGAGGGCATAGGTTTAAGGTGAGAGGGTAAAGATTTAAAAGGGACCTAAGGGGCAAATATTTCACACAGAGGGTGGTGTGTGCAAGGAATCAGCTGCCAGAGAATGTGATGGAAGCTGATACAATTTAAAAGGCATCTGGATGGGTTTATGAATAAGAAGGGTTTAGAGGGATATGGATCAAATGCTGGCAAATGGGACTAGATTAATTTAGAATATCTAATCAGTATGGACTAGTTGGACTGAAGGGTCTGTTTCTGTGCTGTACAACTCTATGACTCTATATACTTTGGAAAACTGAACTATCAATAGCAAACACAACACTGGAGAAATACCAGCAGCAGTGTGTTCACAATATCCTCCAAATTCAGTGGCAAGAAAAGCAGCTTAACTCTCACCAGCCAACATGCTCATCATTGAGGTGCCAACCTCACAAAACCAGTTCCTGTGAATGGGATCCATTGTTTAAACCTGCCCGACAACAGATTCCTGAAGCAACTGAATTCCACTCGGGATGTGGTTAAAGCAGGAGGCCCTGAGAAGGATAATGGACATGTTTTAAGGATGTCCTCAAGACATCCCTGAAGAGATCGAACATCCCTGCTGATTCATGAGAGTCCCTTGCCCTGCGACTAACCAAAAATGGAAGGGGCTTTCATTTGGAAAAGACCTCAAACACATTGACTGACTTCATTGTGATCATTAAGGAGTGATGTTGAGGCATCAGAGACAGCAATGCTAACCTCCCAACAATTCATCTACTCTACTTTTCACAGAACACTACCCCTGAATGTGGGGTGGGAGGCACACTGGACTTAGCACTGTATCAGAAACCCTCAAACCAGAAGGGAAGCAAGTCTTCCATTTTAATGGACTGTCTAGGAGAAAGAGCTAAAACAGAAATTGCTGGGAAAACTCAACATCTGGACAGAAAGCAGAGTTTAGGTTTCAGATCCAATTGGCAGCAGCTCTGCAGAAGGGTCACTGCACCTGAAACCATTACTCTTGCTTCCTTTCCACAGATGCTGAGTTTTCCCAGCAATTTCTGTGTTTTTTTTTGTTTCTGATTTCCAGCATCTGCAGTTCTTTGGGTTCTTTTTTCTTAACAGGAAGAGCTCTAGCCCTGCCTTCTAGTTTCACCAGGTAGAGGAGGAGCCTTTAAGCCATGCCTTGACTGGCAATGCAAAAAACATTTGCCAGCATCCAATTCCAAGAAAAAAAGGTGAAAAGAAATACAATAGTGAGAGGCGGAGATGGAGGACGGGTGGAGAGAGAGAGGGGGTTAGGTGCCATCCTAACTAAGCTCCTTTCAGTCTGGCTGTTAGATCTTACCTTCCGAGTGACCCTGAAGTATCCTGTCAGGGGTCCCATCAACAGCATCTTCAGCAACACGATGGTGCTGTAGGTAGAGTATGCGAGGAAAACCTCGCTGCTAAACACCTCGGACATTTCCAAACACAGCTAGAAAATAAAAAGTGCTTAAAATACAATGAAGATAAAACCCGTAATGTCGAAAATAGAGTCTTGCACTGATGTAGCGCCCTTCACCTCAAAGCGCTCTGCAGTCAATGGTGTGCTTTTTGTTTTTGTTTTAAAAATGTGCAGCTACTTAGGAAATGAATGAAACTGAAGCACTGAGCCGCTTTAAACCCTCAGACAAGCCAACAATTTATAAATAGTACATACAACAATTAAAGACTAAATGGCTCTTTTCCCATCTTTTATATAAATAATGAACCCACCTCAGTGCTGCTTTCCCTCTCTGCTCCGGGCTCCTGAACTCACTGTGAGAGGGTGCGGCAGCTCTCAGCTACTCGAGCGGACGCGAAGTTGTTAGACCTGACCATCCCGGGGCGGGTCTCCCTGTTTCCCACCTCCTATTAAACACAACCACCAGAATTTCTCTCAGCTACACTCTGCAGGTCGCGTATCCTCAGGGTCGATGCTGGAATCTGTTTTCTTTATGTATGCACTCCATTCATGCAAATGATTGGCGCACCAATAAGAGGAATACAGTGATGGGGAAATCTATCCACCGTAGGAAATGAAGAGGCAAACAAAAACAGAAATTGCTGGAAAAGCTCAGCAGGTCTGGCAGCATAACGTTTCGGGTCCAGTGACACTCCCTCGGAACTGGGAAGGAGGTAGAAGCCAGCTTAGAATCCCTACAGTATGGAAGCAGGCCATTCTACCCATCAAAGTACACACAGACCCTAAGGGCAACCCAGCCAGGCCCACCCACCCTCTAATTCCCATGGCTAATCCACCTAACCTGCACATTCCTGGAAACCACAGGTAATTTAGTATGGCCAATCCACCTAACCTGCACATCTTTGGACTGTGGGAGGCAACTAGAACACCTGGGAGGAAACCCATTGCGAACATGTAAACTCCACACAGTCACCCGTGAATGGAATTGAACCTGGGCCCCTGGCACTGTGAGGCAGCAGTGCTAACCACCATACCACCCTCTGCTGTACAGTGTTGGAAGACTATGAGCTTGGAGGCTGTGGGGAGAGAGATCACCAGGTCAAATGAGGTTAGCGACAGTAGTGGAGGCAATGCCCTGATGTTCCATGGTGGAAACATGGTCCAGGGGAGATAGGAGGAGGTATCTGAGAGCCAGCACTCAGCCTCCACAATGTAGAGGTCAGCCTGCCAGACAACAACAGCATCACCCTTATCAGCACAGGCTTAATTACAAAGTCAGGGTTGGATGTGACAGCATGGAGTGTAGTCAGTTCACAGGGAGAGAGGATGGAATGTTTGAAGGGGCCAGGGAAATTGAGGCAACCAATGTCAAGTCAACAGTTCTCAATGAATAAGTGGAGTGCAGCTAAAAGGCCAGAGGGAGGGGTTCAGGTGGAGGGAGAGTGTTGGAGGTGGGCGAAGGGATCTGTGGGACGGGGCGAGGAATCTTGTCCAAAGAAATGGCTACGGAGGCGAAGGTGACAGAAGAAGAGTCATGCCGTGCTCGAAATTCAATAAGGTGGGGTCGCAGAGGTATAAAACTGAGACCTTTGCTGCGTACAGAACATTCAGCATCAGAGAGGGGTTGGGAGAGGGAATGGAGTCAGAGGGAAGGGGACGGGAGGAAGGTTCTGGAGAGCCGTGGGTGTCTCTGAGTTGTTTCATCTTGTGCTCCTTGATGCTTGAAAGGAAAAGAAAAAGTTTTTTATCAGCACATCAAACGCGCCAGAGGATGAAGTGGAACTGGGGAGCAGTGCAGCTCTGAGCCAGCGTGAGGCGGTGTTGTTGGAGAGAGCGGTTGAGAGTGTGCATATGACAGTTTATGGCACTGAGTGTGGATCTCAGGATACCATGAGAGCAGCTGTCTGTAGAACGTTGAACATCACAGAGATACCTATGATCCTGGGTGGATTCAAAACACGAGGGATGTAACTTGAATCGGAATCCACGTGGGGTGAGTCTGAGCCAGAGGCAGTCACTGAGGAACGTGATGTGGCTGTGGAACTGAGTTTTAGCAAATACCTTGTCAAACACCAGGAGCAACAATGTAATTAATGTCAGTGGATAAGGAAAAAAATTTGATTGGAAATCCTGTCAGAGAGAGGAGCAGAACTTCTTCAAGGTGGGCATGCCTGGAAGAGATGTGGCAGTGAGTTGAATACTAAATAAAAACTGAAAGAACCGTGGATGCTGGAAATCAGACACAAAAACAGAAATTGCTGGAAAATCTCAGCAAATCTGGCAGCATCTGTGGAGAGAAATCAAAGTTAACTTTTCAGGTCCAGTGACCCTGCCTCAGAACAGAAGGAAATGTAAGGGTACAGGAATCTGTGAGGGCTCTTGTGGAGCAGTGATAATGTCCCTATGCCCAGACCAGGAAATCTAGGTTCAAATTCTGTATTCTCCAGAGCTGTATCACAGGTTGATTTTTTAAAACTTCAGTCATGAATCAAGGAGATAAAACATTTTTAAGGATTTTTCAGCTCTGTGGTAATGTCCCTACATCTAGGTTTAAAGGCATAGGTTAAAGTCACACCTGTTCCAGAGGTGTGTGATAACATCTCTGAACAAGTTGATTAGAAAATATCTGCAGGAAGAATGAATACCAGAAATCAAAGGAAGGCCACCATCAGTTATTGGTGTTGACAGTATATGAAGATGCAAATCAGCGCAGACTGTTCTGAAGTGTCGCAATCACATCAAGGCCAGCAGCTCCAGCCTCAATGCTATAATTCTTTACAGACTAGAGGAACAACAACATCTTAAAGGAGGCAGAAAAACATACCTTTAAGGTTTGGAATGGACGGAGGAATGTGATTTGGTCCTTGGAATCTGTTTTACCATTCCATAGCACTCTAGCTAACCCGCTTGTGATCTCAAGCTTCACAAAAAACAGAATATAAGTAAAACTCTCTGCTTTAAACTTTCCCCTACGTTAGTACAGAGACTTAATTTCGAAAGTATTCCACTGGCATTTTGGAGTCTTGCCTCCAGTCCTGGGTGACAAACATTAAGAATGATGTGAAGGCATTAGAGAGGCTGAAGAAAAGATTTCCAACAATGAGGGAGTTTACTTAAATTGAAAGTTTGGAGAGCCCAGGACTGTTTTTCTTGGAGAAGGAAGGGGTTTACAGGAAGTTTGAAAGGGATGATCATAATCCTATGGAATCTGGACAGACCCGATAGGGAGAAAATGGCCTGGATATTCCAATGGTCAGCAGATGTTGAAGCACTGTAGACTGGAATTGAATTCCAGGATCATGTGGGATCTCAAGCACAGCTCACACTCAGAACTGGTGTTCTGAAAATATTAATTAACTTAGAGATAGTAGGAACTGCCGATGCTGGAAAATCTGAGATAACAAGAAGGGTCTAGGCCCGAAATGTCAGCCTTCCTGCTCCTATGATGCTGCTTGGCCTGCTGTGTTCATCCAGCTCTACACCTTGTTATCTTTAATTAACTTAGAGTTTGATTTGTCCCTCTAGAGCACATTTCACATGACAGCGTAATCAATGGATGATTTTTGAAGAACCATTCTGATACATACTTTTTCAGATCAAGCCAGTAGTTGATCCCTGTTCCTATGGTGCATTTGGGTTGAGCATCTCCTTCAGAAGGATTCCTTCTTCCATTCTCACCCGCTTCCAATTCCCTCATTGAGGTACAATTAATTGATGAGTTAGCGAATGCTATCACTTTTAGGTTAAAACAAGTGTTCATTATTCATTCTTATCAGTAGAGGACAAATTCCGTTTGTTGATTATCACATGTGGTCTGTTCCAGAATCATAGAATAGAATCCCTACAGTGTGAAAAATGGCCGTTCAGCCCATAGCACGTGCAGTGACCCTCTGAAGAGCATCGCACTCAAACTCAGACCCCTACGCTGTCCCAGCATTTATCATGACTAATCCACCTAGCCTGCACATTGTTGGGCCATGGGAGGAAACTAGAGCGCCTGGCAGAAACCCACGCAGGCACAGGGAGAACGTACAAACTCCACACAGACAGTCACCCAAAGCTGGAATGGAACCCAAGTCCCTGGCGCTGTGAGGCAGCGGTGATAACCACTGAGCCACTGTGCCCCTCATATGGCCTTATGTTCCACATGCCTGATTTCAAAATGTCATTGATTTTTGACTTATAACTGACTCATAAGATGAGTAAAATATGCATTACTGAGGTGTAAAGCGGAGGCTAACTCCTAATTTAATTCCGGAGAAAGGCAGCAGGGGTGTCAACGTACGTGTCACATATGGCCCTCCACATGATGTGGCACCGAAAGATTGGGCACATCTTATGTGCTGGGTTACTCATATGGCACAACCTTTGGTAACAGGCTTTTTATTTCTGATTGTTTTGTTTCATGTGAGCTGAATTAAAATTCTCAAATTACCAACAGTGGGATTTGGACTCAAATTCTCAGATGTATTAGAACATGCCTCTAGTCCAACAATAAAACTGTTACACAACTAAACGACAATGGAACATGAGACAACAAGGTGCAGGGCTGGATGAACACAGCAGGCCAAGCAGCATCATAGGAGCAGAGAGGCTGAAGTTTCGGGCCTAGACCCTTCATCAGAAAAGGGGGAGGGGAAAGGGGTTCTGAAATAAATAGGGAGAGAGTGGGAGGCGGATAGAAGATGGATAGAGGAGAGGATAGGTGGAGAGGAAACAAACAGGTCAAAGAGGTAGGAATGGGGCCAGTAAAGGTGAGTGTAGGTGGGGAGTTAGGAAGGGGCTGGGTCAGTCCAGGGAGGACGGACAGGTCAAGGGGGCGGGATGAGGTTGGTCGGTAGGAGATGGAGGTGCGGCTTGAGGTGGGAGGAGGGGATAGGTGGGAGGAAGAACAGGTTAGGGAGGCAGGGACGAGCTGGACTGGTTTTGGGATGCAGTAGGGGGGAGGGGAGATTTTGAAACTTGTGAAATCCACATTGATAAAAAGGGCTGCAGGGTTCCCAAGCGGAATATGAGTTGCTGTTCCTGCAACCTTCGGGTGGCATCGTTGTGGCACTGCAGGAGGCCCAGGATGGACATGTCGTCTGAGGAATGGGAGGGGGAGTTGAAATGGTTCGCGACTGGGAGGTGCAGTTGTTTATTGCGAACCGAGCGTAGGTGTTCTGCAAAGCGGTCCCTGAGTCTCCGCTTGGTTTCCCCGATGTAGAGGAAGCCACACCGGGTACAGCAGATGCAGTATACCACATTGGCAGATGTGCAGGTGAACATCTGCTTGATGTGGAAAGTCTTCTTGGGGCCTGGGATGGGGGTGAGGGAGGAGGTATGGGGGCAGGTGTAGCACTTCCTGCGGTTGCAGGGAAAAGTGCCGGGTGTGGTGGAGCTGGAGGGGAGTGTGGAGCGGACAAGGGAGTCACGGAGAGAGTTGTCCCTCCGGA